CCATAAAAAGACCTGAAGTGGGACAAAGGAGACTGATGTGCTTGCTGTGTCTCTACCCCCTTCCCACCTTGGGAATGTTGTAAGCACTCCAAATGTGGTCTGAGTCTGTGCTGTTTTCTGTGTGTATTTAGAAGCATAGGATAACCAGTGAGGTTTCTCATGCAGTATGTTTCTTTATCTCTTTTTGGAAGTATTGGATTTTTTTAGATCTGTTTTGTCATTGGGAATTTGACATTGGATGACTTTATAAAACATTTTCCTAATTGGATTTGTTAAAATAAATAAATCAAACACTAATTGGACTGTGCCCTGCCATTATTTTTGCTTACTGAATTAGATATTATGGCGTGAAGTTCTTTTTATCATATTTGTGCACTTATTTAAACACCCCCCTGGCGCACACTCCTGCAAATTCAATTATATATTCAAAGGAGGCATTCAATTTATGCAAGGCTGGTTTACATTTAATCCGGGGGCAAGTCTCAGTGACTGATGATAGGTCTGCTCAAGATTAATTAGCATCATTCAGATGAGCAGTGGCATTGTTACAAGCCTGCAGTGTAAAACAAGGGATATTTTATCCTTCCTATGTGAGCTGTTATTTGCTTCAATATGACCCTTTTCAAGAAGAGAAGAGCTTCTTGTTTGGGTTTCATTTTGTGAAAAGGGGTCAACACCACATGCATTATCTAACAATATCAGTCATATCCATTTGTTTTTTTTTTTGCCCCACTTAGCAGCTGCATTTGTCACTGTTTAATTTTCAGCCAAACATGGGAAAGACTCCAAGATCCCCATTTGCTTCCTAAAAAATCCTCACTCTTGTTAATACATGAAGCTGTAGAACCCTGTTTTAGCAGATGTGTAAGTGTTTTCATGTTCCTCAAACACCTTTCTGATACTGCGGCTAAAATGATAACGTGCAAATCTGGTACCTAAATTCATTGAGTGGTATCTTTATCTTTCAATTTGAGGATTATTCTTTCTATGTTTATGAATAGCTCTGTTCTTCTGCCTAGCAGTTGTGTTTCAGCAATGGGTAATTCTGCGCTAGGATGGATCTAACTTTCCCCCCCTTCCCCTTTATGTTCTAGTGTATTTAGGCGGAGCTCGCTTTTAGGTATCCACATAGGTAGTGTGTCTTTAGAAATACTTAATGTTAAGCTTATGAATGTAACCCATCTGGTCAATTTCGCCTGTCAGTTCGTTTTACAGTTATTACCCCTCCTGAAGCGGACGCCTAAAATGTAGTTTAAACGGAACTTGGTTAACGGGGTGTAATCGCGTTTTTAAGCACCTTGCAGCGAGGTGCTTGTGCGGCAACGCGGAATGTTCGATCCCAGGAGGTGCGCACGGGAAGCGCCTCTTCTAGGAGCGGGGCGGGTAAACACGCCCCAGGGCTGGGTTTCCGCTTTGGAACCGATGTGTTTCTAAGACCTGTGCCCCGCGGCTGGGTGCTGGAGGTGCGGCCTCTGCGAGGAGGGACTGGGCTGCACCGCAGCGCGCAGGAGCGGGGCCGGGCGCACCGCCAGCGGAGCTGCGGGACCCTCCGTGAATCGTGCTTAAGGAAGGGGAAAAGCCTCGAAAAGGAGAGGGGAAAAGTGAGGGAACCCGTCCTGAGGTCAGCGAGGGAGGGGGAGCGCGGTGGGCATGGAATTCCCGAGGTGGGGTGGAAGTTTCAGAGCTGCTTTTGAGCATGGCTGCCTGTAACTGGAGCTGTGGTGCCATGTGCCATGCGCCATGCTCTGCAGGAAGGGTAGGAGTAAGACACCTATGGTACCCTCGTTTGGCAGATACGAACAAGTAACTGCGGCTTCTGGAATATTCTAGATGTGATTCTTCCCTTCTTCTTTTTGAAGTTTCTTCCCTGTTCTGTAGGATTATGTACACTGTAATAGTGTGAACAGAGGAGTTGCTGACTTTTATCTGCCAAGTTAATACAGCTCTGGGTCCCAACTTCCCTTTTAATTCTGCTCTTTTGACACCCCATAGCAAGAAGCAGATGGAAACTTCCCTCCTCTTGGTACCCAAGATTCCTGCAGCCAGCCTGCTTGTCTGAGCCTTAAAATTGACTCAGTTTTTTTCTCCTTGTCCTCATTTCCTGCAAATTCACCTACAAGTTCCAATTCTGTTGCTTCTGGTAAATTAATCCTTCTGGTTTATTGCCCTGCCACTCTGCATTTGGAGGTTTCTCCACTAACCTGTCTTTAAAATGTAGATGTCTTGCTGCTATTTTTCAGGCGCTCTGTGGTTTATTCTTGCCTTTCTTACCTAATTGTACTACAAGGTTAGCTTTGACTTTCAGACAAGGCACTTTAGAAGCTTCCCCAGGTGTTGCCTCTTATCAGTGGAAACTCCCAGTCTTGCCCAGGTTCTCACTGTATCCTCTCTTCTGCCCCTCTGCTGACTTTGCCTGCTTCAGCGTGTGTAAAATAGCTTACTTAGCTGATCAGAGCAAGGTATTGATAGTTACATTCCCTGTCATATGAGGATTGCTACCCCATATTTTGCTGCTGTTGCTTGTTTTGCTTCTGGGACCTCAGAACAACGCCTGTGCAATTTTCTCTGTGTACATGAGGCCTCGTACAATTGTCTGGCTCCATCAGAGACTTTGTTTACAACCCCTTCAAAGTAATAGCTCAGAGACAGCACCGTTATTGTGTGCTGCGCAGAGGTGGTGTGGGGATGGTCTGTGTTTGGAGTTGTGCTATTAAAGGGGATCTGTCGAAATTAGGATGCTGTGGTTGGAGGCTGAGAGCAGGCGGTTTGATGGTGTCTCTCATACCCTCTCGCTGTGAAAAAGGTGACTTTCAGTTGCATTGCATACTCCCACACAATCCGGAGCACCTTGATTTTTCCCTTAGACGCTTTAATGAGCATGTTTAATATTCTAAACTTGAACTTTTTCACCTATATTAGATTTATCGAATTAAGGAAACATTTTAAGTGTAATCCTGCTCATTTTGACAGCTGGCAAAGCTTCACAAGTGTGGTAAACTTAAAGAAGAAATTACTAAAATAGTGTAAAATAATGACCCAAAAGAAGTATTTCCAGAGACTTGACTCTAACAGGCAAGTTTATGAAGGTCATAGAATGTGCTGTAGCCAGATTTATTTATCATGGAAATATATGGTCTATCAAATCTGTTTTTAGGAGAAGCTTGTATTTAAAGTCTTCTTCAGCAACAGGGTGTCTTTACTTTACTGTAAGGGTGGTGAGGCACTGGCACAGGGTGCCCAATGAAGTTGTGAATGCTCCATCCCTGGCAGTGTTCAAGGCCAGGTTGAACAGAGCCTTGGGTGACATGGTTTAGTGTGAGGTGTCCCTGCCCATGGCAGGGGGTTGGAACTGGATGATCTTAAGGTTTTTCCAATCCTAACTATTCTATGATTCTGTGATTTTTGGGGGGTGTCAGGCACTTTACCCAACAAATCCTTCCAGTATACACTTAAATAGAAATAATACGTGAAGTTTTGTAGAAAACCAGTTGTGGTTGGAATGAGCATAAAATCCTTTAGCAGAATGAGGATTTAATAAATATTAATGACATGGTGTATGTTTGTGCTCATAATTTATGAGGAGCTCTACAGGAACAAAGACAAGTTTGGGCTTTTCTGGAACTAGACAATAAGAAATATAGGTGGAAACCAAAGAAGGCTTCTATGTCCCCAGTGTTGGATGATCCTTATTGCAAAAGAACTATGGAGTAGTCATATTCCATCTCTTCATTCAGTGCATATAGGCAGTGCAGCCTGTGGGAAGGATTAAAGAGTCAGGAGCATCTCTGCCTGTAACTCTGATTAGTGTCAAGAGCAATTGGCGGCTTGGCTGGGAGAGCAAGTTAGTGTTGCCTTGAGCTCAGTCCTTGCAGCCTGCAAGTGTGAGATGTCCAGTTGCCTTTGGAGGAATAGTATCTGCAGAGAAAATGCATCCTTGCTTCCATAAGAGAGAAAGCCAGAGCTGTACAGAGACACTGTTGACATGATTAATGTCTAAACTTAAGGATCTGGGCTGCCTGATCTAATAGATCCAGTTCTGAAATATGTTTGGCAGACTAAGTTGGGTGGATGTGAAGAGTAATGTGCCTGAGGTACTTGTAAGGGACACCAGCAGAGGAATATCCATCCTAGCAGGGAATAAAGTAGCTTGATTTGCCCGTGTGACACACGTTTCAAAGATCTGTGCTGGAATACAGAATTTCATTGCAGTGTTCATGGATTTCTCTTGACCCACAAGTGTTGAGGCAGCTGCCAGGTTATTTATGACACTTAACTCCTTCCAAGTATTTCAGGAACTGCAGCAGAGAAGATCGCAGTCAACAACTGGAAGGTGTGAATGCGGGTTGCCATCCACTCCTTGTTACTCTCTTGTTGTCGAGAACAACACTGCATTCAAAAGTATGGACAGGAAAGACCTTGAGGAATGGTCACGTGCCACTCAGAGCTGCATGTTGTTATGCAGAAGAGATGGTTAAAAGGCAGGTTGCACTTTCCATAGGTGTAACCCAACCTTGTGTAATTCAAGGCTTAAAAGTGAAGTGAGGATTCCCTGTAGGAATAGCAGTGTACTTGTTTACCATCTGTGTTCCTTCTTCCATCCTCCCACTTCTCACCCTCCTGTTCTATTTTTGGGGGTATTTTTGCTTTTAATACCTGACTTGGGGGTTTATGTAGTGAACTCTCAGTTGCAGGGACCTAAATGCAAGTTTTCTTGCATGTGCACATTGTGCTTGTAAATATAAAGGCAATAAGCTGAAATAAAGGGAACCGATCTAGGAAACAGTAGCACGGAGGGAAGAAAACAAAGGCTTCCAATGGATACGAAGTGTGTAAAGAGCAGAAATGTTTTCTGAATACCTCCTCTGCTGCCTGAAATATAATAATTTTTGGTTTTTTTTTTCTCTTGTGTAAACTTGGGTACAAAATATTTAAGTAATTGACCAGCCATAATGAGAGATAAATAATGCAGGAATGTGTTTGTTTTTCTTGGTTTTAGGTGGTTGTTCGTTTGATGAGCACTACAGTAATTGTGGTTATAGTGTGGCCTTGGGAACCAATGGATTTACCTGGGAGCAGATCAATACCTGGGAAAAGCCAACGATGGATCCTGCTGTCCCAACTGGTAAGAATCCCCAGCAACAGTTCTCTGAGAGAATCAGCTCTGAGCCCTAAATGGGTGCGTACGGGGCCTGGGTACCAAAAAACAGAACCCAGGATGATTTTTGTGTTCAAAATAATTTGACAATAGAGTTCATAAATGTGCGTCTTTTCCCAACATTTGCCATTTGATATGTTTGTTGAATCATTTTACACAGCTGATTTGTACTTTAATCCTGTGTTCAACAGAGAGGCAGTGTTTCAGGTCTAACATTCTAAGGCTTGGCCAGTTTTTTGCATGTTTCAGGATCGCAAAGCTGGCTTTTCCGGGAGAGACATGTTTGAGAGGTCAGAAAAAGTAAAGTGTTGTAATGCCTGGGAATATTGGACCTTCCAGTAACCATTTAGCTCTTAACTGACAGCTTTGAATTCTAATTCTGAGAAAGACAAACTCCTAAAAAATGAGCTGTAGTAGTTAGTGCTTGATTTGGCTTGGATTTCAGACTGAAATTTTCATGTGCAAAACCCACCCATTTCCAACAGAGTTACCAGAATGTCTAATTTATTAACAAATATTGAGAGCATCTAGTATCAGTCTTCCACGTGATAGGAATATTCTCTGAAGAGCTCACAGTAATGGTGATTTTCAGTAGTTTTGTTTCCCACTGGAGTCACCATTATGATGTGTGGGAGTCGGTTCTCTAGCCTTAAAAATGCTGTGGAATGCTTTGTTCCCATGTGAAAAAGAACTTAAGAAAGCCCGCTAAGTTTGTTTGTGTTCCTTGCCACCTACAGCAGCAGCACAAGCCCCTCTAATGGAAATAATGATAGAGAGACTTGGCCAGCCAGTTAAGGCTTTGATTTCAGTCTTAAGAAGGAAGTATTTGTTACAGTTAGTGCATTGCACTCTGAGAAGCATGAGCTACATGGCAGAACCGGAACGTCGTGTTGTTCAAGAGGTATTCTTATGGCTGTAATTACCGGCGTAAGAGACTTGTAATTGCTCGCTGCGTGCTAAGGCTACCATGTAGAGCTGATACAGTAGCTCCCTGACTGACAGCCCAGTCTTCACCCCTGTATGCTTTTTGTCAGTAGAAAACAAGCACACAAGATACCAGCCTAGCTGCAGTTTCTCCATCACTAAAGGATGGTTAAGTTGTGGGGTGGTTTTATTATTGGAGCTTATTCAGAACAGGAACTTTCAGAGCATGTAAAGCCTCGTTCCACTTGATTCGGCTGTGGCATCCCCACAATTAATTGGGAATGTTGCAGCTTTCTGGTATTTCATTGTTCTGGATGTTGTTCCTTTTTAATCATGGCAATTTAATCTCCATAGTATCTCAGCTCTTACCTTGTGTCCTATTCCCTGGCCCTGCTGAAGATCTAGCTAGAGACGCATAGCAGATCTTTGAATTAACTGATACCAGAGTGAACCGAAGGAATAGGAACACGTGCAGTTTTGATCCAACTTGGAAAGCAAAGGATTAATGAGATGGCTTATATGGCTTGGGCTTGATGAGTTCAATACTTGTCAACTCTGAGTGGTAAAGGATCTGTCTTTCAGGACTCTGTATGGAAATGTGTTATCGTCTGAAGTACACTGGAACCATGGAGAAATAAGTAGAGAAACAACAGTCGGGAATGCAGGGTAAAAAAGCCAAACAAGCCAAACCCCAAAGCACAAATGTAATTTTTAACAAGGCTTTCAGAATTATTTCTTCTAAAACTAGCTAGAGGTGTTTTCCCCCACTTCATGGTATCTAGTAGCACTAATAAATGATACAAAGATCTTAGAGCAGCTGCAAATTTAGTGAAGGCCAGACAACAAATAAGAAACGGGGTTTTGTTGTAGAAAGATGCAAAGGTAAAGCAGCTGCCAGTGTGAATATGCTGATAAAGAAATATTACCTGAAGAGATTTGAAGGAGCATACAGAGAAATTACTTGGATCCTCATGTTACTAATTGATGTCTTGTCTTAGGAGTATTCACACAGCACAAAATGTGAAATCAGTAGGTAGAAAAAGCGTGACCGCAGCTAAAGTGCACAGAAGGCTCTAGTAACAAAACCACGTTTTCAAGGGCTGTCCAAATCACACTAACCTTGAAGTAAATTATAGTGGTCAATTAGAGTCCCTGAAGCTAACAGGGACGTTCGGAGCTATTATTGAGAGTCTGGGCTGCTGCACAGAATTGTAATGCGTGTTGCTTGTATTTGGTATGTATTGAAAAGCCTGTTTTGTAAGAATTAAAGACGTTTATTTAAAATTAATGTAGTGTCAGAGCTGGGCGAATCAGCTGATGAACAGCATGTTCCACAGGCAGGGACATCTTCAAAGCCAGAGTGCTGGAATGATTATGGAGGTTGGCTTTCCATTGCGTTTAATTTCTTCACAGCAGCTGGAAGCAGTGGGGTGTAAATCCATTGAGCTGCAGGGTGTAAGAGATGGCAACAGAGCTGTTCATGGAATAGATAGATGTTGGGAAGAAGCTCTTCCCTGTGAGGGTGCTGAGGCACTGGCACAGGGTGCCCAGAGAAGCTGTGGCTGCCCCATTCCTGGCAGTGCTCAAGGCCAGGTTGGACACAGGGGCTTGGAGCAAGCTGCTCCAGTGGAAGGGGTCCCTGCCCGTGGCAGGGGTTGGAACTGGGTGAGCTTTAAGGTCCCTTCCAACACAAACCAGGCTGGGTCTCTATGAATGAGTATCTTCTGGTGGCCAGCTGTAGCTGGGAAAGCTTCTTGGCATGAAGAGTGGAGACAGGAGTGCCAGAACACATGGGTTCTGAGAATACCCTAAGTAATCTAGATTTTCTTTATCAGTATGGCATCTTAAATATTACCTTGCCATTACTTTTTTGTAGTTGTTAATAGGTTAAAATACTACATTGTGCAAGTGGGGAAAACAAAACGGGAGCAGGAGTTGGTTTGGTTCAATGGTGCTAAGCAAGTCTGCAGCGCAGCCTGCTGGGAGCCAGTGGCAGGAAGCATGGCCTGGCCCCTGCCTGGGCAGCCCGCCTGCCTTCACAGCAGAGCTCCTTTCTTCTCTCAAATGTGTCTGCTTTCAGAAGATCCCTTTGAATTGAACCAAGCCATGGAGTTCTGGCCTCCTGAATACTAATGATAATATCCAGCCCTTTTTACAGTACTTCTCATCCTGAGATCGCAGGTCAGTGCCATGAGTGAGAGCCTGAGTCTGCAGTGCTGTGTAATCCTCTGCTGACACACTGCTGCAAAGCCTCTGTCTGGGGACAACTTTCTACTCTCTAGTTTTTAAATTAAAATGTCAAAAAAGGAGGGAAAAAAGGACAGTTACACTGCTCTGTTAGCAGTGTAGACGTTGGTAGGCAATTTGTCTTACTCCATTGCTAGCAAATAAACTGTTTTCCATGATTTCTATGATTAATTCCTTAGGGCTGGAAGCAGCGTTAACTGGGGGATTAAGAACCAGATGTTTGTTGTTCTGAGTAAATGTTTCAAAACCTGAAATTAATTGATGAAATTAATGAAAGACGTGAATTGTAGGTGTTGCGTCCTCAGTCTTCAGTGGGACTCTCATTCCACTGCCTTGCAGGAGCTATTACAACAGAACATCCTTTAACAGATGGGTGTTTACTTAAGCCGGAATACCCTCAGCGATGAGTAGTCAACAGCCTTCGGGCTGCTTGTTCCACTGCTTGAATTAGAAAGTTTCTCAGTCCTTCATTTTCCTTTGTATGGCTTCATCTTAGTAGTTTTTTGTTCAGGCCTTGGCTAGGGAGAATAATCAGCTGTTGGTCTCTTTTATAACCTTCTTTATATGGTTGCATGCAGTTAAGTCTTTGCTTTGCAGGACTGAACCTGACCTAGTCCTTTTAACCTTTCCTAATTCAGTGTCTCAGTTCCTTCTCTACCCTATGCTTTCAGTCATTGCTTTCTGATCTTTTTGGGGTGTTTGCCTAAGTTTGTGTTAGACCAAGGAGGGATTCAATGCTCTTCGCGTACAGAATTGTGGTAGTGGTCTCTGAGGGTCGGTTACTTCTTCCAACAATCTTCATCACTTCTGGCAGCCTTTGAAGCACGCGCAGTAGATGCTCATACCAGTTTAATTGGTTCGTTAGCACCAGAGACATAATAATCCTCCTATCCTCCTACTTATCAGTTAGTTTAACTGTAGCCCATCCTGGACACCTGCCATTCCCAGATACTCCTTATCCCTGTGTCCTGTTCTTCTAGACTGTTTTTCTTAAAACTAGGCCAACTATAACGATTTATCTTGTGAGAATTCTTAGTATGTTCTCTAGTTGTACTCTGTTTTTTTTCTCTATGTATCCTGCACCCCAGTAATTTTCCATTGCTGCTGTTACAAAGCCATCAAACTTAACATTACTTAAAACTTCTTATAAAAGTTTCTATATCCCATTTTGTGATTTTGTGCCCCTTTGTCTCAAATTCCCCCCTTTTTCTGTCCTTTTGCAAATTCTTTTGCAACATTTTATATATTACCATTACCACCAAAAGTCTTTTTGAAATAATATCCCGTTTCTACCTGGTGCTTAGTTTCATTCCGTTTCCATTCTTCGTAATTTATCATAGACCGTTTACAACACCAGAGGGAACATTGTATCATACCACAAGTAATCAATATTAAAATAATTAACACCAATATTCCTGCAACCAGTTGCCTCAACCAGGAGAGATTGGGTAACCATGAAGTTAACTTTTTCCATGTTTCTTCAAAGCCCCAGGAGGTGCCATCCATGGCCATTTCACGAAATATCTTAGTTTGTTTCCAAATTTCCTCCAGATCTGTTTCAATTCCACCACTTTAGTCTGTATAGGAACTACAGCTTTCATTGATTATGGAAGAAACCCCTCTTTGTGATGCCAGTAACATGTCTAGAGCCATTCAGTTTTGTAATATCACCTTAGATAGGCTAGTTATTTCTTGTTCTGCCTGGATTATATCGATGTTTTTACTTTCCATTTCCTCTATGGTTGCCGAGATATTTACAATTGCCTTCTCTAATTCACTTACTGCCAAAGATGGAA